AGATTTATAGTGAAAAATTGATAAAAATAACATTTAAAAATCATTTTCTTGGTCCCAAAAATTTATTTTTTATTAAAAAATCTTAAAAATGTCAAAAGTGATTCGTCTTGAGAGATGTAATTGAGCAGGCAAATAATCAGTAAGCCAAAGAACTCATTTGAACTTTCGTCTCCAGGGACACTTAGACTTATAGCGAAAAATTGATAAAAACAACATTTAAAAATCATTTTCTTGGTCCCAAAAATTTATTTTTTATTAAAAAATCTTAAAAATGTCAAAAGTGATTCGTCTTGAGAGATGAAATCGAGCAGCCAAATAATCAGCAAGCCAAAGAACTCATTTGAACTTTCGTCTCCAGGGACACTTAGATTTATAGCGAAAAATTGATAAAAATGACATTTAAAAATCATTTTCTTGCTCCCAAAAATGTATTTTTTATTAAAAAATCTTGCAAATGTCAAAAGTGATTCGTCTTGAGAGATGAAATCGAGCAGGCAAAATATCAGCAAGCCAAAGAACTCATTTCAACTGTCGTCTCCAGGTACACTTAGATTTATAGTGAAAAATTGATAAAAATAACATTTAAAAATCATTTTCTTGGTCCCAAAAATTTATTTTTTATTAAAAAATCTTAAAAATGTCAAAAGTGATTCGTCTTGAGAGATGTAATTGAGCAGGCAAATAATCAGTAAGCCAAAGAACTCATTTGAACTTTCGTCTCCAGGGACACTTAGACTTATAGCGAAAAATTGATAAAAACAACATTTAAAAATCATTTTCTTGGTCCCAAAAATTTATTTTTTATTAAAAAATCTTAAAAATGTCAAAAGTGATTCGTCTTGAGAGATGAAATCGAGCAGCCAAATAATCAGCAAGCCAAAGAACTTATTTTAAATTACGTCTCCTGGGAAACTTACATTTCAAGTGAAAAATTGAAAAAAAAAGACAAATAAAAATCATTTTTTTGGTTCCACAAATTTATTTTTCATTAAAAACTCTTGCAAATATCAAAAGTGATTCGTCTTGAGAGATGTAATTGAGCAGGCAAATAATCAGTAAGCCAAAGAACTCATTTGAACTTTCGTCTCCAGGGACACTTAGATTTATAGCGAAAAATTGATAAAAATGACATTTAAAAATCATTTTCTTGCTCCCAAAAATGTATTTTTTATTAAAAAATCTTGCAAATGTCAAAAGTGATTCGTCTTGAGAGATGAAATCGAGCAGGCAAAATATCAGCAAGCCAAAGAACTCATTTCAACTGTCGTCTCCAGGTACACTTAGATTTATAGTGAAAAATTGATAAAAATAACATTTAAAAATCATTTTCTTGGTCCCAAAAATTTATTTTTTATTAAAAAATCTTAAAAATGTCAAAAGTGATTCGTCTTGAGAGATGTAATTGAGCAGGCAAATAATCAGTAAGCCAAAGAACTCATTTGAACTTTCGTCTCCAGGGACACTTAGATTTATAGCGAAAAATTGATAAAAACAACATTTAAAAATCATTTTCTTGGTCCCAAAAATTTATTTTTTATTAAAAAATCTTAAAAATGTCAAAAGTGATTCGTCTTGAGAGATTAAATCGAGCAGCCAAATAATCAGCAAGCCAAAGAACTCATTTTAAATTACGTCTCCTGGGAAACTTACATTTTAAGTGAAAAATTGAAAAAAAGACAAATAAAAATCATTTTTTTGGTCTCAAAAATTTATTATTTATTAAAAACTCTTGCAAATCTCAAAAGTGACTCGATTTGAAAGATGATATCGAGCAAGCAAATAATTAGCAAGCTAAAGAACTCACTTCAACTAACGTCTCCTGGAACACTTACATTTATAGCGAAAAATTGAAAAAAAAAACAAATAAAAATAATTTTTTTGGTCCCAAAAATTTATTTTTTATTAAAAAATCTTGCAAATGTCAAAAGTGATTCGTCTTGAAAGATGAAATCGAGCAGGCAAATAATCAGCAAGCCAAAGAACTTATTTTAAATTACGTCTCCTGGGAAACTTACATTTTAAGTGAAAAATTGAAAAAAAAGACAAATAAAAATCATTTTTTTGGTCCCACAAATTTATTTTTCATTAAAAACTCTTGCAAATATCAAAAGTGATTCGTCTTGAGAGATAAAATCGAGCAGGCAAATAATCAGCAAGCCAAAGAACTCATTTGAACTTTCGTCTCCAGGGGCACTTAGATTTATATGCGAAAAATTGATAAAAATGACATTTAAAAATCATTTTCTTGGTCCCAAAAATTTATTTTTTATTAAAAAATCTTGCAAATTTCAAAAGTGACTCGTCTTGAGAGTCCTACGTCAGAGTCACTAATGGCGAATTTATTGTTCTTTTCACTTTTGCGGCATGTTAATTTAAATTCCAATTCCATTTCGATTCTTCTCTGAAATTCCGTTCTTCAATGAAGTGCTCGAACCACCGCCAGATCAACTCAATTTCAGCTACACTCTGAGTCTGGTGCAAATCACCAGTTATATAACACATTCGGTTCCGATTTGGTGCGGGGAAATGTTTCTCCCATCAATGATGGCATTCTCCTCTGTTTTAAAAAAATGCAATCAATTAGAAGAAATGATTATAAAAATTTGAAAATCTGACAGGATGAAGGTAAGATCCGATGAGAGAAATTAAAAATTTAAACACTTAAGAAAAAATTATGAAAAGCTTACTTTGCAGAAGAGACAATTCGCCATCATTTCGTTCCAATTGTTCTAGGGTACGTGCTTCGCCCAGGATTGAAAACCAAGGACAACGCATTTTTCGCATTTGACAACCTCGCGTGCCACGAATAGGTAGTGCTTCATTTTTGGAAAATTGTTGATGCAATGATGAAAATTGTCCCTACATTGTTTTCTTTATACAATTTTCCTATGATCAATTAATTCGGCCGCTTCATGAAACTTTTATACTGATGCTGAAATTTTTTTTGTTATTTAAATAAAAATAAGAAAAGAATATTTTAATAGAATAAAAACAAATTCCAGCGTTCTACAATTTATTATTAAAAAATTATTATTTACAGATTAAATTTTACTACTTTTGAGGAAAAATTTTCGAATTTTTATTAAAGAAATTTTTTTCAAAAATAGTGAAAGCTAATTTAAAAATAGCAATTTCTAATAGAGCAATTTAATTATTAATTTAATTTCATTCTAATAGTAATTTTTATTTTTTTATCAAAACAGATTTAATTTAATTTTCCGTATATCAAAAAAATTTCTCAATGAAAAAGAGAAACATTATTGATTAGTGTAAAACACGAGAAATTGATTCTTATTTTTAAAAAAAGATAAAAATATTCAATGCAGAAAAAGTTATAAAAATTTATTTAATAAAAATTTTCATTCTATTATTTTTAAAGGTTATGAATTGAAAAAAAAATTTCCTAGTTTATATTTATATTTTTTTAATAACTAATTATTTAATTTGTTTCCATATTTAAATTATTTATTGAATCAATGAATTAAAAGAAGCTTTATGTAAAATTCTTTTTTTTTTTAACATAACCACTTTTTAGATTTGTTTTCTTATTACAAAACATTTTTTTTACTTACCAATATAAAAATATTTGTCACCTCACTTTAATCACTAACTTTTTTTCACCATTCATTACCATTTTTTAAAAATTTTAATGTATTTTTAACTTTAATGTAATGGTAAACATTAAACTGTTTAATGTTTACAACGATGACCAACGATGACATCAAAACACACGTCAATTTTTTAGGCATGGGATATAGAAACTCAAGTTTGACAATAAATTATCATTTTTCTGCAGCAACTTCAGGGGGAAGGCATTCGTACGTTCTACTGTACATAGGTTAATCAGTAAACTGATTTCAAAAGTTACAAAAGTAGAGAACTATGTACATAGTGACGTTTTTCGTACATATTTTTCTCGAACTTTGGTTAACTTTCCGCGAGAGAGAGCACTATCTACAAGTTTAATTATGCAAATAAAATAAAAATAATACAATAGTTTGCCAATAAAGCTTTTATTTTGTATTAACACATATATTTAATGCAAATTAAAAGCAATTTTAATTATTCTTTTTTTAAAGTTAACATTTAATTTAATAAAAATTTCATGCAGAACATAATAATCAAATAAAATAAAGTTATAACTTATGATGGTAAATAAAATTTATGTATTGAGGGGCTAATAGTAAAAATGGTTTAAAATAATAACGGGAGCAAAAGTAGAATAAGTAACTTAGAAGCAAAAACAGATTAAAATGATTGTGTAATTATTTCTTGATAAATTAATTATAATAATTACAAAATATTAATTCAAATAAAATAAGTTTTTTTATTATTGACAATATTTTTTAAGCATTAATATAATTAATTTATCAAGAAATTACATAATCATTTTCACCCGTTTTTTCTCTCAAGTCACTTATTCAACTTTTGCTTCCATTATTATTATTATTATAAACCATTTTTACTATCAGCCCCTCTATTGTTCGTCATTTTTCGTTCGGTATTTTCAAAATTAAAAAATATAATATAATTATAAATAAAATAAAATATAAAATAATAATAAAAATATAACAGAAATAAAGGATTGTGTTAGAAAATAATGTAGATGGTGACGCTTTAAACAGGAAAGTGGAACGACAAAGCAATTTTAATCGTACTATCTACCACATAGTGCACTTTTCATGTATTCTCCATAATTTTTGGATAAAAAATGTGCACTATCTACAGTTTTATTAATAAATAATTAAAATTAATAAATTTTTTGCACCAATGAAAAGAGCGTGTCCGAATTAGTCAAGAACATAAGTTTGTTTACAAAATTTTTAATTTTATTAAGAGATCCAGATGCAAACGCGTTTCCTTCAATATCTCCGATTGAGCTAAAATGTAGATAGTGTCTTTTTTAAAAAGGACGGCAGTGTTGTAAACATACATAAAAAAAGAAAAGATACGAAGGAAGCGAGAAAACGTGTATTAAATGGAGTTGATTATCTCGTTTTTTAGACCCGAGGCAATGGTCGGAAACAGCTGTTATGCACTGGCTGGACTGGGCCATCAGGGAATTTTCGTTAGCTGGAGTAGCGATGCAGCCCTGGCAACACATGACCGGAAAACAGATTTGTGCCATGGGGAAGGAATCCTTTTTGGCACGTGCTCCTGCCTTTATGGGGGACATCCTGTGGGAGCATCTCGAGATGCTTCAAAAAGGTAATCAAAGACAATCTTCATATCTTATTACATAAAAAAAATACTATCTTTTTTATTTCATTTCATTTTTACTTAGGTACTATTTCTTTGTTTATCATTTTTATTATATTCAATATTATTGTTTTACTTTTTATTGTTAATCGACAATTTTTATTAAAAATATTAAAGAATAATCAATATTTAGGTACGTATTTAAGACTTGGCGATTTGAAATGTAAATTGAAATTACTGTTTGTTATAAGTTGACGATGTGTAGAATCGTAATTTTTACTGGTGCTGGCGTAAAAAGAGAGAAAGACACGGAAAAAAAAAATATATATATATATATATATATATATTTAAAGGAGACATCCTGCTGTGATTCTATAAAAACAGATCGAATTTCCGTAAAATCGTGATATCCCGCGGCAGGTAGGGGCAAAAACCTCTATATATATATCCATATTAGGGCGAACAATGACGCGTAGAATGACGATCACCCCTGGGGGGCGTTGAATCGTCCCGTAAAATTTTTTATTTGATAAATGAGAATGAATGAAAAAATATGAGATGCTTTAAGCCATAGAAAAACTTTTAAAGTCCGGATGCACTGGGTTTCCAAAATAGGACCTCAGCCACTTAGTTTGGGATTTTTGAGCGCACCGTAAAAACATCTAGGAATATCTGCTTCAATTCTAGCATCACACTTCCGGCTCTAATTGTTCTCCCTCTCCCTAAATATTATATATATTATTTATTTATGCAATAAACAAACTGACTAATCATTTTTCACGTTTTTCTTTTTACAAAAATAAAAAAAAAACAAATTTTAATTATTTTTTTCATATAATGAAATAGGTATAATTCTTAGTTTCAAAAAATGAACAAAAATTGTTGTTCTTATGACGAATTTGGTCAATTTTGGTTAGATCTTAGATAAAATGAGATTGTTTGAAAATTTAACTTCACTGAAAAAAATATATTTATGGTACTGCCATAAATATGGCCAATTCTCACATATTATATTGGTGGATATGGAACAGTCATACAGTATTGTTGTTTCAGCCAAACGCAGTGTGGAACAACCATATGTATGTGAAGAACACCAATACTGTATTTTAAGAACAGCAATACAGTATTGCTGTTTCAGCTACACGGAGAAAAAGGAATTGTTAAATCTACTAATTAATTGTTAATATAGAACTAGCAAATCTGATTTGTTGTTGAAACAGTTTTTTTGTTCTCCTAACAAATCAAAATTGTTGTGATAACAATTAATTTGTTTGTAGAACAAAAAAAATTGTTGCAACAACACAGGAAATGAAAAGTGTTGTTTTAACCCGAATTCAGGTTAAAACAACACTTTTCATTTCTTGTGAACAAATCAGATTTGCTAGTTGTATATTAACAATTAATTACACAGTGCAACAGCATTTTTATTTTTGGAATCGCATAGGGTGATTTTTATAGGTTTTTTGATGCTGAATGCGAATCCGTAATCAGAATTGTTCCATCACCCTAGATTTTTGAGAAATTTGACCTTGAAAATTAAAAAAAGGCCGTTTTTGGGGTACTTTTTGGTTTTTTATCAGGATATAAAAAATTTTCCTAGGGTTTTCACTATGTGCGTACGAAAGCCCATATCTTCCTTAACAATTTGAAATTTGGACCTTTTAAAAATATCTATTTTTCGATGAGTTATCTTTGTTTGAAGTTCGAGTCGCATCATAAAATCAGCAAAAATGCCGTTTTTGAGGTATTTTTTTGTTTTTTATCAGGGTACCAAAATTTTTTCTAGTGTTTTCATAATATACGTACGAAAGCTCATATCCTTCTCAACAATCTCCAATTTTGACATTTTAAAAATATCTATTTTTCGATGAGCTACCCTTGTTTGAAGTTCGCATCGTAACGTCAAATGGGATAACAGTGAGAAAAATATTAACATAATATTAATATTATTAATATTAACCCATTAAATCTCAAGCAGAAACCAATGATTCATTAAAGAAACTATTATATTTTTAGGAAAATCAAAAATAAATTGACCATTTTTTTTGTTTATCATTTCAAATTCTTTAACAATAATTTAACAAAAACAAAGATAACTCATCGAAAAATAGATATTTTTAAAATGTTTAAATTGGAGATTGTTGAGGAGGATGTGAGCTTTCGTACGCATATCATAAAAACCCTAGAAAAAATTTTTGTACCCTGATAAAAAACCAAAAAGTATCCTAAAAACGTCCTTTTTCAATTTTCAAGGTTAAATTTTTCGAAAACCTTGGGTGATGGAACAATTGTGATTACGGATTCGCATTCAGCATCAAAAAAACTATAAAAATCACCCTATGCGATCCCAGAAATAATAAAAAAGTGAAATTCTGTTGCACTGTGTTAGTAGATTTAACAATTCCTTTTTCTCCGTGTATACATACGTCCTAACCATACTCGTATATCAAAATTGACATTAACATTTTTTCAGTGTTCTTGCACAATTTTTGTCATTCTTACACACTGAAAATTTTTTTTACACTTTTTTCTTAGCTCTGCGATGAATGAATCTGTTGTTACGTCAAAAATAACGAGAAACCTTTTTAAATATGCCTATCGTTCCTCGTTTTAAATTAGTTTCAGGAATGAATCTAATTTGGGATGAGGATAAGTCAATGAGCCTACTAAATGTATTGAGAGAATAATTTATTTAAAAACCAACAAGAAAGAAAAGTATTGACAATAATACAATGAGTATAATTGAAATAATAAATCTTACTGTAGGAATAACGATTAGTGGTGGTATATGAACTGGTGATGATAATCTGGTAATCCAATCTTGAAGTGTGTTGAGGGCTAGACGTAAAGGAGCCTCACACGGTTGTCCTTTATGGCAGGGTATTGGTCCTCTTGTTTACACTAATGAGATAGTGTATTGTATTCCGAAAATATCTGCTTTCTTCCAGACGGTTGTCGCCTCTTGAGCAAATTTCGATGGTTCGAAATTTGGAATGTGTTGTTTGAATATTAGATGTTCGTTGATGGTTGAGATTATTTCCAATTTAATAAATTTGCAAATTGTTTAAAATTTATATTTTGCAAATTGGTGGTTGATTTGGTTTGCAAAAGGTTGATTTACAGTTCACTTCAAATTTAACACTTGGGGATATATTGTTCACTTTCGAACAATCCACTTTGAAAAGAATACTTGGAGATATACTGTTCACTCTCAAAGATGTGCTTTGAATTCACTTGTAAATTATGTGATGTGCTAACGTTGACTGAACGATGTAAACTGGTTGATTCCCAAAAATTACTCTCTTGTACTGAACGATGTTATAAGGTTGATTTCTAAACAATTACTCTCTTGTACTGAACGATGTTATAAGGTTGATTTCTAAACAATTACTCTCTGGTCAAACAGAACTGCTACCCCTTTTTATATAGAAATTTCCTCATTATCCTAATGCATAGCGAGTCGATACGAGTGGAAATGCTTAATCTTAGATTCCACTTTTTAAGTCGCAACGTTTGTTTGAATCCTCCGCATCGCCGATAGGAAATTCCCTTCTTTAGAGGTCACAACGTTTGTTTGAATCTTCCGCAACGCCGATAGGAAATTTCCTTCTTTAGAGGTCACGATGTTTGTTTTGAATCCTCTGCAGCCATGCGTAACTAATATGATTCTCCCTAATCGTTATTCCTTTGAGATTACTTTGAAATATTATTCTTTCCTGGATTCGTTTTTAAGAAATACATAATGTAATTACAATATTGTTAGAAAATATACTGAATATAATGCAAACTTAAAACCTAAGAATTACAAATACTGAATATAATATAATGATAAGATACAATATTTAAATATAAGATACATGCATTAAAAATGAAGATGAAATACAATATATAGAAATTAAATACATAAGTAATAATATATAGTTAAAATAGAAATATTAATAAGAAGTTACGGACGTAACACTGTGGACTTTAAACTTTTTTCAATGAGTTAAAATTTTACTAATCTGTCCTCTTAAGTTATTTAAAAAAATGTTATTTTAAATGCGAAGATGTACAGCAAACTTGTTTTTTGAAACACAAAATCTGTTATTATTAAACTGTTAAAAATCGGACTATTAATTTTGTCATTGGTTCGATTTTGAAAAGGAATCTATTTCGAGGTATGATGATAGGTTTTTGTATATTTGGTGGTTTGGGCACAACATATGTTTTCGAACCGCAAGGAAATCAGAGCATTCAGAAGTTCGGTGTACAGGTGGTAGCAAGGTGCCATAGTTTAAAAAAGAGAAAAAATGGACTTTCGAAAAGGGAAACGAGAATTAAAGGCGAATGATAAAAGAGGAGAAAAAAGAGTGAACCAGACAGGATACGGAGGTTCACCCATGATTTAACTCCCGTTAAATAAAACTCCGTGCTTCCTTATCTGTTCTCTCTCTCTCTCTCCCTTTTGCCAATTCACTGTCTTCCTGCGCGGCAATCGCGGTTTAGCTCTCGATTCGTATTTAACGGCTTTATTCAAAATTTTCACTTTACTATATATATAGCATATATTTCGCCGGAAATACTCACGGTTCGTGAACGTTAGATAAACAAGCTCCACAGTTTTATGTGACTCCAGCGAGTTTTCACTTTTAATCGCCACACATATATGCTATTCATTTTCGTCAGCTCGCTATATCGTAAATTCACGGTGACTCCTTTGTTTTCTCATTATAAATTTAGTTTCTCGAAAAATTTCCGTTCTTCTTTTTTTGCATTCAACACAAATTTAGTTCAATATTTTTTCAAAGTTTACGTCTAAATTAAAATCGATTAACATTCTTTTATGTTTTAATTAAACTGATGAAATTTTTATATTTTTTAATATTTTAACTGAGCTAAGCAAAATTAAATTCGATGCTAATTTATTTTCTAATGTTTCAATCAAGAGAATAAAAATTAATTTTGATTGTAATTCTATTTTTGGGTTAAAAAAATTATATTAATTTAATAAACTATATAAATATAAT